TATGTGTGGCTACCGGTTGCGCCAGGTCGTCAATGGGTGGCGCTATATACATCGCGCGAGAGTACACCGATCACGAATTGGCTACGCATGAGTTTTAGATACTCTTTTTGAATTTTCGTGCACTTTCGCGTCAAAAAGAAATTATCCTTGCAAACTTATATTATCTATGAATAGTTAAAGTTTTTTTGAACCTCAATCCAGATCTTCAAATTATATTACAATATAAAGTTATATAGTTACAGTAATAAAATGAAAAGTTTTGTATGACACGTTGAATCCTGGTGACGAGCTTAAAAAACTGAAAAAAATAGTTAAAAACCTATACTTTTTAATTTATGGAGCTGTTATCTGGTGTAGATATTTTCCTAATAAAAGTTTTATAGCTTGAATGAGCAAAATGATGTTGCACCATCTCTTAAATTACGAACAGTATTGAATTTATGGAATTAAAATTGAAAGAACTTAAAAAAAATTTATATTGATTTGCAAATTATATGTATACGTATGGGCTTAGCGAAGACTCAGAATAATAATAGTAGACAACGGTAATGTGTCTAGCAGTAAGTGCTGAATCCTGCAAGAGATGGCATTGCAACTATTAGATAAAGACTCTGTATAATGTACACTGAACCAAAAATGTACGTAAATGCAAATAAACTATTTATTGTATTAATGAGAAGAGAGTTTATTAAAATTGATTTAATGAATAATTTTAAATTCTCATGATTTTATAAAAGGATGAATTTGATTTATTAAACTGTTACTAGAATTCATTGTAATAATAATTATTTATATATGTACATTGAAAAAATCTGCCATGGATTTATTATAATAACAAAAATTTTATCGATTTAATGAATATTGTTGAATCATGCATTGAATTTTATTATTATTAACGCGTAATGTTAACTTAATCAACGATTTCATTACTTTATAATCACATTGATATTATAAAGTGATATAATTGACTACTGCATTGTACTAAAGAATTTTTTTTTAATTCTCAAAGAATAAGATTCTTTTTTAAATTTTTATATATCTTTTTTAAATATTTTCTTGTACAAAGCTTAATTAATTATTATTTTACTTACTTTTTAATTATAAATGCGCATCAGATTGTTTTACAATTTTTGAAAACGCATATGCTGTACTGACGAGATTAGGATTTAACAATAAGGTAAACCTCTGACGCTGATGGTATAATCTCACTCGTGCTTTGACACATACACACACTAGAGAATCCCTACATTATATAAAGAATATATGAAACTTTTAATTAATTAAATTAAATGTTACATTAAATTATGATACATTCAAATTCAGTATATTAATAAACAGTGACTTGTATAGTTATATTAATAAATTCAATTATACTGACTAATAAAAATACTCAATGTAATATTCATAATATCTATTAAAAGTTCAATGTATCAATGTATTTCAAATTAATGAATTTATTCGCACTGATATTATGAACAATATTTTTTCATAAACAATATTTTAGTATATGCGTTTATAAGTGACACAGAACAATAATATAAGAATTTAAAAAATGAATAATTTGAATTTAAAATAAGACCAAGATAATAAATCTCTCTCTATAATTAAGTATAAAAAAGATTTTCTATATTCAATTAAAGCAGATCTTAAATGCTTTAATTATTTAGTGTAAATTTATATACATTTAAATACCGATGTGTGTGAATTTATATATTATACTACGTATGTAGATCTAAAAATTTGTAGTCTAAGACATTTGCGCGTAAAGTAAACGATCCGGGTTCGACTCCCGACCGAAGTAATCTTTTTCGCAATATGTAATTAAATTATTTACAGATTTTTAATATATCATTCATAGATTTTAATATGTCGTTCAACATATTGTTAAGATCCAAAATGCAATGAGCATCAAAATTGTTAGATTGTTAGTCAATTTAACTCGTGATAGTACTGCAGTAGTTTATTAGTTTGCGTTGTAAATCTGAGAAAATTTCGGCGCGCATTTAGGGATCTATATATAATGTAATATATAAATTCACACAAAAATTATATTAGAATCATCCAAGATCCAGCTTGACCGTAAATGGCTTATTCTCATCGGTATTTAGTTTGAAATTCTCACGGTCCAAATAAGATTTGATATTGTTTATATACATTTATGTTTTTTCGGATTTTAAACACATTATGCATATTGCATAGAATCAGAATAGTAATATCACATATTAAATTGTACAAGCAATGTAATAATTTTTGATGCTAATAAGCATCTAGTAAAAATATTCATTACTAGATGTTAATAATTATCTGATAAACTGCTAATAGCTTTTTAATTGTAATAGTATCTCGATCAGGAATCGAACACGGATCTCACGCATTCCGTGATTTCCGTGCGAATGTTCTTACAGTTAGGTCACCAAATTTAATAATATTCTTCACAATAACCAACTTTAATAACATTTTTCGCAATAACTGAAACTTTCTCTCTTTACAGCAAGGAGAAAGGAAAAGATAGAAAAAGTTTTAAAAGCTCCGCTCAAAGTAACAATTACTGCGCACATAATCAGGCTTAAGTCGCATTTAATTAATAAAACAGCGGCCACTGAAAAATTCAGCCGTCACGTCAACATATCTTAAATTACTACACTTGTGTTACAACATTCTCATTAGGGAATTTCGCTCGATAAATTTTAATGATGTATCAGGATCTTATGAAAATAAAAATGTTTGCTTACGTACAAATTGCTTACACAGCCACCGCAACTATGTTCAGTATACATTATAAACAAATGGTATGTTTTAAAAACTAGAATTTAGTCAATATATAATATGATCTTTCATATAATAATTTATTTACAATTAATTAATATAAAATTCGCGTTTGTAACGATGTTTAAAATATATGGAAAGATAGACGTAGCAAATTTCGTATTATTTTATTAACTCATGTGAATTAATTGTAGATGTTGTTAGGGATCTTATTTCTCGGAAATTTATTCGTCCACGTGGCGTAGTATAATATATGTATAGCGTTTTATTCTAATCTTACGTTTTGTAAATATTATCTAAGTTCGTTCACAACACATCTCTCGATTAGTGGGTGGTCTTCGAAATAGCGGCGTTTCTGTGAAAATCAGTAAAATAGAGACATTGATTACTGTTACTTCAACACACACATACACACACACACACACACACACATTTTCCATTTACTATATTTAAATATATTTAGAAGTCTTTTTTCACATATATTGAAATTAAAAAAAAAAAACTTTAAAATTATTATATATTTATCTCTCTTTTATCTATACTATTTCTTTTAAATAAAGTAGATATTATGACTCAATAAATTAAAAATAAGATATAATATAAAGGCTATGAACCAAATATATATATATATTTAGATCAATAACAAACACTATATAAAATACATCGAGACATTATAATCAAAAGATATAAACAAATTATTGCAAAGACAAAAGATTAATAAACAGACGTTTCAACCTCACTCGGGTCATCTTCAACGTATTTAAACGTATAAATTTAAATAACAACATATATACCGAACCTTATAAAATAGTGAATTTAATTGTTGCACCCTTCTTAGCTACTTAAATAAAATTTCTTTTATTTAATCCATAAAATAGTCACAAAGTCACTTAAAACTTATTACTAATAAAAATGATTTCTTCTGAATTGCTCTTTGCATATTCGTAATTGTAATCTGATAAAATTCGTGGCTTGGTGTGGCACAAATATTCCAAACCTTTTGTTAACTCTTCTTTTAACAAAAAATTTATAAAAGTGATAATTATTATTTGTTATCACGGTTATCGCTGGTCTCAAGTCATAATTCTGCGGTTTGACATGTCATTGTCTTCTTATTCGATATTGTACGACAACGAAGAGCAATATATCCATCACAAGCTTGTCAAAACTGATATTGTTTCATCGTGAAACACTAGTAGCCGTAGATTGTACGCCATCAAAAAACGCCGTACTGATATTTGGCAAAGCGTGACTACGTCGTCGACGTTGCACCTCCGCAGCTCCGGTCTGCGACAGGTCCAGAGAGGCCATAATAACTTCTATATCTCTTCTTCGATCTAGTCCATCGCTGTCGTCTCTGTAGCGTCCATCCTCTCTTATGCTTACCGCTTGTTCGCTCGCGTTTCCGCACGCAAGTAAGATGGAAGGGGTGAGAAGGGGCAAAGACGCTTTTAGACACAGAGCGTCCACGAGTGTCGCGACGCCTTGAGGAGCAGTAGTCGCGTATCTTAGCTTCCACCTTGCCGGCTCACACGGGTAACGTTTGCGATTTCGACGTCTACAAACGAAAGTCGAGACGTCATATTGTCTTACAGGCGTTGTCTTTTATATTATCTTCTGTAAGACTTCGCTACTTGAAGAAATAGTTCCGTGGGCCACTCAACAATGAAGAAATTCTCGTTTTGAGTGTTTTTTTAAATCCTACTCTTTAAATAAGATTGACTAATATTGAATCGCATTAGCAAGCTGCTACTGATCGTGGAAATTGTCGTTGGATTATACCTACATCGCACAATAGAAATGAACGACTTCTTGTTTGCCCAAATTTTATTCGCTGAAGTTGATCGTGCTTGGCTTTCGATCTAGTTGCCATTTTTGCAGCAGTAGAATTATTATCGTCCAAGAAATCGCGCCATCGTCTTGCCTCGCTATTCTCGATCGGTTCCCGTCTTATGATACGTCCTTCAAAGAATGGTCAAGTAAAATGGCTTATATTTACCCTGTGCGAAAAGTATTTGTTTTACTCGATGTGTTCTGCAATCAAAAGTGAAGTGATGGGTCATTGCGAGTGAAAGGGGAAAAAGGGATATTTATATCCCGACTGGCATGATAAAGTAATTGTGTAAGGTAGTGGACGGCTAATCATCTGTGAACCGTCCCTATCGTACACGATACCAGAGAGATAAAATTCCGCGAAGGTAGTTCGCGTAGCGAGACGGGACAAGGACGCGACGATGGCACAGCGTCCTGATGGAGGAAGGAGACGTTCGCGTCGTGACAGTGCGGACTCGATACGGGGAACACTGCCTGCGTCCAAAGATCGTAAGACCAAACGGTCCGGCAAGCCCGTCAAAGAACGATGGCTGCTCACCAGAAAAACATGGCGATATATGGCCGATGCCGGCAGACGTCTCATCCCCGATGGTACTCACAATCGGCCAGAAGACATACCAAAGATCGAGCAATACTTTCAAGAAGTGTGCCAGAAAGAACCGCGTTTTTTGCTTTGGAGGAAGGCTTCGTATCCTGGCAGTCTGAGCTTCCGCACCCAGCGACGTCGTAGACAGACTAAAGGTGACAGCTGTCGAACGCAGGCTAGCTCGGCTGATGAGGCTGATGACGCTAGAAGTTCACCGCAGAGCTTCGTTCTTTCCGCAACCACATCTGGCACATTTGATCTGGCAAAGGCAAAAAAAGAGTGGTTACTGACGTCAGGCGGTAGCAACGGTGGCGATGGTAGCAGCGATGGCGGTGGCGGTGACGGCGATGGCGGCAGCACGCCATCAAGCCCGATATCGCGTCGCAAGACATTTCAGGAAGACACCGAGGCCAAGGAATTGGCTGACATGCTACAGAAGTACCTAAACATGCATGGTAACACTGTGGCCAATCCGGCAAGGATGGCTATCAGGTCGCAGGGTACAACCGAACAGGCAGAAGGGAAAGAACCCTTCGACTATCGTAGCCTGATAGATAAGCTGCAACAGCATCTAAATACGATTGTAGCTCAGGCTAAACGTGAAAAAGTTTTTCCCAGTCAAAGTACTTCTAGCAGGAAAGACGTAGTTCCGGAATCCATGTTGCCATATCAGGGCGATTATGTTCACAAATCGCTAATGGAGACGCTCAGTCGTTACTATGGCAAATCATCTTCCCGGGAACATGTTATATCCGATATTTTGACAGATCGAAAGCTCCTCGAAAAACTTTATTTCGATTTGAGATGCACTAGAGGCTTTCGGGGACCCCGAGCAACCGGTGCATATACCTCACCGTCGACTCGATGGTGGGCTCACGAGAGAAATAGAGCGCCTACCAAAGAATCTAATCAGTCACTTAGAAGAGACCTAATTTCACCACCGCCTTTAATCGCTGTACAAGAACCTAGTACCGATCGAAGTTTTCTTGAGAATGGCGTGCAAACCGATCCTATTTCTCAAAATGTTCTTGACATGTATCTATTGGAGAAGGAAAAGGAAGAATCCTCGCAAAAGGAGCAGATGTCGCAAAGGTCCAGCGGACGAAGGTGTAGCAGCGTTGACAATGACGACGTATCACCGTCCGTGAGTGACACCATCAAAAGGTATCTGCGAATGGCGCGAAAGAAGTCCATGGACGCAGACAAGATCGACCGATTTAAACGGGTCAATTACGATCGGAATTTACGGAATATCAAAGCCAAGGGTGAGATTACCAAGCCTGGCGATGACGACGGCAATAACAAGGGCTGCCAGACAGAAGATAATTGGATGGTGCATTATCGCGAGATGTCCTTTTTTAGTCCCGGAGAAATTCCATCCGAGAATTTATCGGATGCTGACACTACGACATCCCCGCCTGTCAGTAGAAATGCTAGTTCCAGAAGCAGCATCGACGCCGGCCTCGGTTCGGAAGAGGCTTCCACCCCCGTTAAACATCCCCATCATCATCAGTCCTTCCTGTCCCATCTCTTGCATGGTTCCAACACGCATAAGCCGCATTCGGCACCCGGTTCGCCGGCACTTACGTCATCGTCCGCCAATTCCGCAGGTGGCACAGCGATGCAGAAGAGCAAATCCTCGAGTAACGTGGTGCATCACGGCAGCCGGTTGGTGGCAAAGAAAATTTGGCGGTCCAGGAGCAAAAGCACATCGAGGGTGTCGCATCAGCCGTCCGTGTGGACACCTCAGGTGAGTCTTCTTCCATTTGTATATAATATTACTATTTAGTATAATCATGACAAAGAAATTGTAAAGAAATATACATTAAAATTTTAATTCTTTAAAAGATCTTTCTTGAGAGATTTTTAATTTATTCATATTATATAATAACGCTGTTGAACAAAATATAATCTTTTTCCGGATGTCAAAATAAGACTAGAAATTTTTTATAGTTTTTCGTACGCCAAATTCGTTTTCCTTTTCAATTGTTCTATTGTGTCATAAATTTGAGAAATTTATAATTAAAGTTGCAAAAATAATCTATTTTGAACGTATTTTGTCATATTAGGTATAATTATATTAACATATTCGAGAAGTTTATTACGTTTGTACATCTACAATCAAAATCAAGTATGTTAGAGTTTTCAGTTTCTTCAAAACAATTTTTTAATGTGTAATGATTATAATAATTTTTTATAATTATCATAATATATTATAATTTAATATATACAATTATACATATATATATGTATGTTTAAAATTATTTCAACTAAAATGAATATTTTTAAAAAGTAATTTGTTTGCATAAATTATATATTAAAATTGTTATCTCATTTTGGTGTAATTTTTACTTACTGATAATGAATGGTAGTAAATACAATTGTAAATTTAGAATTTTCTTCACCATTTATGATAAACTGCAACAATTAGAAGGAGAAATGTGTGTGAATTGCGTTCTGGAATTTACATTAAATGTAGAGTAGACTTTTCAATAAGCTATAACGTGTGCATTCTTTGGCGTCTCTGCGAGATTAGCAAAAAGTTTAATAAAAAGGAATAGTAGAATATCATGAATTTGGCATAGATTCGCATTTTCGTAATGGCAATTTTTGGCGGTGAAACCTGTGACTCTATGCAAAACAGGAATATCTTTTGTAAGAGTACGAATAAGATTCTAAATTATAAGAGTGCCGAAATTGAAATTTGTGACTACGCTATTTTAGGAAAAAGTTATTCTTAACTTAATTGCGTATACGAAAAAATATTTTTGCACTTATAATGTACAAAATATCCTTCACAAACATGATAAATAATACTGCGTGCATGCCCCTTCTCTCCTTCTCTCCTACTCTTTCTTCATCTTTCCTTCTCTCGCCTCCCTCCATCTCCATTTGTTATAATATAAATACAAGAAGGTCGCCGATACTGATATACCACTTTGGTTTTAGACAATATTTCTTAAACAAAAATTAAAAGTAAAACTTTAGAAACATAAATACAGACTAGAAGGTATCGTCTATCAGATAATATATAGCAGTTTTTTAAATAATACTTGCAATTTTACAATAATTAACTTTTTCATAAGATAAGCAAAAATAAAACGTCTTACAAATTGGGCTCTAAAACTGACGCAGTAGGCGATAATCTTACATATGCCTGTTGTTTTTTTTTTTTTATAGAAGTCGTCTATACAAAGCATCTACAAGTAAATATATTGTATAAGACTTTATTAGAATCATTTTATCCTATCTTAAAATTGGCGTATTACCCTAAAATCACTTTAATATTGAAATTTTGCGTAGATTAGTAGAATATTTTCAATATTTATCTTTAGATTATCTTTATGAATATTGTCGAAAGCTAATAACCTTTTCCCACTTTTCGGGTAACAAATGGATTCCGCGATAGAAAAATTGAGATTCTTTCGAAGCGATTCAGTCATCGAGTCATTTTTTTGATATTTTCGAAATAACTGAAGTGCTGTTTAGAAAGACCATGCTGCACCGACCGAAACAAATGGTAATCTGATGGAGTAACGTCTGGTGAATAGGGCGGGTGAGGCAAGACATCCCATGGATCTGGCGTTGTCATGTTCTCCATTCTTCTGAATAACTTTATCATATCTTTTGGCGTATTGCGAGCGTTTTTCTATAAGTGCTCGATTCAAATTGAGTAATTGACGTCGGTAGCATTCACCATTGATGGTTTGACTCGGTTGCAGCAGCTCATAGTACACCACACCGACTTGATCCCACCAAAAGCACAGTATGGCCTTCTTTCCATATCCTGTTTTGGCGTTGATGTTGATGATTCGCCGGGACGCACCCATGATTTCTTGTGTTTAGAATTGTCGTAACGAATCTATTTTTCATCGCCAGTCATAATTCGATGCAAAAATAATTTCCATTTTTGTCTTTGGAGCAGCAATTCACAAATGACTGAACGTTTCGCAATGTCTCTCTCTCTCTCTCTCTCAATTCATGTAGGACCCAATTTCCTAACTTCTAGATCATTCCCATTACTTTTAAACGTTTGCTAACGGTTGATACATCGACATTTAATGTTCCCAACAACTCTTTGAGCGTCTGACGTGAATCTTCTTGAAGTAATTCCTCCAATTCTCCATCTTCAAATTTTTTCAGCTGATTAGGGCGCTCTTTGTCATTCGCGTCAAAATGGTTGTTTTTAAATCTTCTAAATCAATCTCTGCAAGTTGTTTCAGATAGAGCATGCTCCCCATAAGCCTCCACTAGCAAACGATGACTTTCAGCAGCAGATTTCTTGAGGTTAAAACAGAAAAATAATGCAAATGCTCTTTTTTTTTGTATGAAACCCGACATTTTAATGCGCTATATTGAACAGTGCTATTTCACATTCTTTATGAAAAATGTTCCTGTTTTGAAATGCAATATTGTTGAGATATCGCGATAACATAATATATCTGCAAAAGGATAACTGATTTAAGAACTTACACTTTTTTAGATAATATTTATGTTACATTAGGCTGGATCCACAACCTCGTTTTAAGAGGCTCTAAGCCGTAAAGCCGTAAGAAATTGACCAATCATAGTTGAATGCGAGAAAAATAATTGACTGTGATTGGTCAATTTCTTACAGCTTTCCGGCTTAGGGCCTCTTAAAGCGAGGTTGTGGACCCAGTCTTAGATATATCTAAAAGACGTCTTTTAAATGTCTTATATCTAAAAGACATTTTTTAGATATCTTATGCAACACGCATGTTATCTGGGTTGTTATTGTTGCAGTTGAAATATGCCATTAATCCATTATGGTATAATTTTAAATAAGATATAAGTATATACCGGTTAAAATTTTAATACAGAATACATAGTTAATGATTTATTTTCAACTTAACATATTTAAAGTGATAATTCAATTAATAGGAAAGAAATTTGAAATATTCAAAACTTTAATTAATGAAACGTAGATTTAATTAAATACATAATTTGTTGATTAAATAGTTAATGTTATTGATATTGGTTTGAAAATTGATTTACAAATTTTTGCAGTTAATGTTAAAGTTAATGATGATAATGCGACTAATGTTGATGATAGAAATGATTTAGATAATTCAGACGATTTATTGAAACATTAAATAATTGATAAATTTGATGTTAAATTGTTTCTTAATTAATTAATAATTGATAAATTTTTTTTAGAAATTCCAAGACATAAAATAGAATAATTTAAAGGAAGAAGAATTTCCTATTTAATACAAATACGAAGCCTATAACAGTCTAGCTTGGATCTTTAATCGCTTACATATAAACTACCGCGGTACTATCACGAATTAAAACAAATTAATAATTAACTAATATATGTAGTCTCCCCAAATTGCCCGATCAATCGTCGGTCTTAAAACGCAACTCTAATAATCTGAAAATACTAAATCTGGAAATAATTATTCTTATTGCGAAAAATATTACCTTGGCCGGGAGGTAAATTTCCTATTTAATTCAATACATGCTTGGACACATTCAATCAGGGACTGTTGCAGTGTTTCAAAAATTTCGGAGCAATTAATATTAGAAGCACCAAAGATGTGTTAGCGTAGCATATCTTCATTGGCAATTGAAATTTCATAAATTAAGGATTTTAAGTGTCTCCATAGATAAAAACCTGGAAGATTTAAATCAGGGAATCATAGAGGCTATACACAATTACACATTTGGAGCTACATTTCAGTAACAGTAGGTTTGCGGACATATAACATATTCGTATATATGAACTTTCTTCATATTTTGATGTTGGAAACTCGGCTCTGAAGTTTGTTACCTTATTTTAATTATATCCTGTATATATAATAAATTGTTGCTTCTCGTATTTAAATATGTACTCACATAAACAGTCTTGTTTTTAATCTTATCAAAGATTAAATTAGTTTATGATCTGTCTTATACACGTAGTCATTAATACCTTTTTCTATACATGCGCAGTTTCGAGTGTTAAAGCATTAATGACCATATGTTACAAACAGATGTCAATTTATGCTGCACTGCGATTTTATATTTAAAATCATATGAAAAATATAAAAAACAAAATAGGGTAGAGCGAAACTATTCCATTAGTTTTAACTTTAAGGTAATACGAACATATTTTTATAATAGCAAACAAAATTTCTTTCTAATGACGTGTTCATAATTATTAATTACGTTATATAATCATAATTGCTCCTTGAGACCACAAGCACAACCTTTAAATAATCAACATGTGCTGTACAGAAACATAAACATTATCGCAAGAAATGGACAAACTCCGCTGTATCCTAATATAAATCAAACTGATTTAGGAAACTACAAACGTGTAAAACAATGTAGTATTATCAATAATATAGTCACTATTATACCAGAAGGTTTGCGGGTTATCGCCGTGTCTTTCTTCATTATTAATGCCAACGTTTCGTGAACCATGCCGTTCATTGATACAGTATCGGTGCATCCCTCACCTTGATGAAGTGAGCGGCATGGTTCACGAAACGTTGGTATTAATATAATGAAGAAAGACACGGCGATAACCCGCAAACCTTCTGGTATAATTGAAGAAAATACCCGTGAAAGCCTCAAAAACAATATAGTCACTATTATTTAAACAATGTAATTTAAATATAAAAGGAAATTATGAGAATTTTATTTTTTTATTTGTAAAATTTGCTTTTTTATCTGACTTTATATAGAAACAAATCACAGATATATGAATTATGAATTTTGATTTGTTTAAATCAAATAAATCAAAATAAATAGATTGTATTTTCATCAGTATTAATAAAATGTTTAATTTTGTCCAGAAACAAAGGATTGTTTTTAGGAGA